CCTGTTCATCCTCTCAGCCAGTCCATTCAATTGTGGAGTCTTGGGGGGCGTCTTCTGAAGTCGGATCTCGGCCGCTCTGCAGTATGCATCAAATGGGCCGCAATACTCACCACCATTGTCAGATCTGACTACCTTCAATTTTTTGCCAGTCTCCCTTTCAACCATTGCATGGAATTCTTTAAAGGATTGGAGTACCTGGTCTTTAGACTTCAACATACATACCCACACTTTGCGAGAATGATCATTAATGAATGAAACAAAATACTGAGCTCCTCCAAGAAATCTTCTGACATAGAGAAAACATCAGTACGGACGAGGTCAAGAATATACCATCGTCTTCTGGGTTGATCTGGTTTCACGAAAGAAACCTGGTGCTGCTTTCCAGCTAGGAAGTGCGTGCAACTCTCCAACGCTTGACCTTTTAACCCGGTCAGTAATCCTTTCTTGTGTAGAATTTGGAGCCCTTTCACACTCATGTCGCCGAGATGCTTGTGCCATAGCTCCAAGCTAGGTCCATCTCGGATAGAATTGGCTTCTCCGCCATTGATCTTTCCTTGCATCACATACAAGGAGCCTTCCTTCTTACCTCAAGCAACATCCAAGTTTCCCTTGGCCAGCTTCCATCTAACACTACCGAAGTAGTTCACAAACCTGGCATCGCCAAGCTTGCCTACCGAGATTAGGTTCAATCGCATGTCAGGAACATACCTTACATCTTTCAACACAAGTCGTTACCCAACATCTGTGGTCAGAGTCACATCATCGACACCAACAATCTTGCTGGTCACTTGATTTCCCATCTTCACGACTCCAAAATTACAGAAAAACCTTTGTGTGGAGTAACGTGGAAGGAGGCACCGAAGTCAACAATCCAGGTGGAGTCATCATATGCAACATTCAAATAATTATCCTCACCTAGGAGGAATATCTCGGCATCCGGGTTGGCAGCCACAGCAATGGCGCTCTTGTTTTCCCTCTTCTTGGAAATAATCTGATCCGACTTCACAGAGCAGTTCTTCTCCTCATTCTGCAAAGTCCAGCAGTCTGGCTTCTCATGCCCTGTCTTCCCACAATAAAAGTACTTCAACTCATATTTTGACTTTGACCGAACTCTGGACTTTCCTCTTCTGTCACAATCTCGACCTCGGCTTTTGCTTCTACCCCGAGAGTCAAATTTCCCTCTATTCTCAGCAATGTTGGCCTCAGAAGTGCTCGAAACACCTCGTTCTCTTCTCCTGACTTCTTCATTAAGGAGACTATCTGTTACGACATCCATCTTCAATTTTTCATCTGGAGCCGAATTACTCAAAGTCACCACTAGAGTATCCCAGTTTTCTGGCAGCGAGCTCAATAGCAGCAAAGCCTGCGTCTCATCATCAATTTTCATCTCGGCTTTAGACAACTGATTAACAATACCTTTGTAGGTGTTGAGGTGTTCAATCATGCTCATGTCGTCCTTGTATTCCAGCTTCACAAGTCGGCGAACTAGGTATGCTTTGTTCTTAAGAGTCTTCTTCTGAATCATGGACTCCAGCTTCGTCCTCAATTCGTACGCGTTTGTGAATTCAGACACGTGCTCAAAGAGATTTTTGTCAATATATTTTCTGATTGTAGCTACCACCTTACGACTCAGGATCTTCCACTCATCAAGGATAATGAGCTCATATAAATCTTTGCAGTAGAGATGATCTTCCATCATCGTTCTCCAATAGGTGAAATTGTCTGCGGTCAGCTTGAACACATCTCCATCATGGGTTATACCACTGGTCTCCATCTCGTCTCCCTCAGAACCCGTCGAACCAGGGCTCTGATACCACTGTTGAGAACTCGTTTCCCTCAACTCGGCTAAGAAGCCTTTTCGCGGAAGTCAATCAACAAGATCCTGGATCTCGGATCTCGGCAATCTTACCTCGGCCTGAAATTCACCAAGTGGAAAAACAAAAATAAAGGAGAGAGTGTGAAAGAGAAAAACAAGCAGTTTTAACGTGGAAAAACCTTCTCCAATAAAGAAGTAAAAACCCACGGGACCTAGTCCAGTTCAAACATCCACTATGAAAATAATGGGTACAAAGAATCAAAGTGATGGTTAAGACAACCTCTCCAACAATGGTGATAATCAAATTTCCCTAGAGATGTTTTACTCAAACTCTCTCTAGAAATCTCTCAAATACAAAGCTTAAAGTTTTGCTCACAAATCTCTCAAATAATTTTCTCTGAATCTTTTCCCTCTAACCTAGCCTCCATCCACAACTAATGAATATATAGAGGAGGTGTAATCTAGAGTTTAAGGTTTAGGGATTTTAGAAAACCCCTCAATGAACTTGGGCTTAGCATTGAAAGAGAAAGCCCAACAAGTCCAGCCAATAAAAATCCTAAATGCAAAGTATGAATCATTTGAAACAATCCCCACATCACAATCAAAGATTTATTGAAAACTGAACAGTGTCCTGCGCTACCTTTGAGCCACTTGAGCAAGTCACCATAAGCCATCTCCTAGTAGCCATGCCATTATTATTTATTTGATGCTCATAAGTAAAAGTATTTTTTATATGTCACCTGGTTATATTTAGCGTAGCGAGGTTTAGGCTTAGGCCTTAAGAAATACAGGGTAATATAGAACATTTTAAGCTTGGTATTAATTTATTTAACCTTTGTAAATCAGCTATACTTATTATGAATCATAAAAAATAATTAGAGATTAAAAATTTATCTCCTGTAATCCCAAAATGATATCATTCCAGGGGTTTAGAAAAAAAAATAAAGAGCATTTTAGTAAAATTACATAATGTACATTTTTTCCCAAACCACCAAAATAAAGTCATTTTGGGATTGCTGAAGATAACTTTATCTCATGTCATTAGAAAAATATTATTCCCAAATAATTAAAATAATATTTTTTAAAAAATAATAATTTAAACAATAATTTTATTTTATTTAAAATAAATGATATGCTCTAGGTTGACTTATAATCTTATAAATCACACCTTATAAAAGTAAGTTTGTGGTCTTTTTTTTAAATAACTTATTTTTAATTGCTAAACAAACTAAATTAGGTCTGGTTTAATATACGTTAGGTCTAAGCCCAGGATAATTCTTCTGATATATTTACACCTCTAATTATGCTCATTCTATGTAATTGGAATTATGCTGTCAATAGGCATTAGCATTAGGTTTGGTCTTGTGGTAAGGGGTTTGAGTAGGTTGTATTAGGTTATGTGTTCAGTTCCCACTTATATCCGAAAAAATAATTATGTTGTCAATAATAACTACTTAAATGCAATATAAATATCATTTTATAATTTTAAATATTTATCTTTTAATTATGTTTTTGATATTTTACCAAAATTTAAAAATATTCATACCACATGCACTTACATATGTACATATGTTGATCTCTCGTATGTAACGAAGCGATTAATATTATTAAAATTGGCTCGATCTGCCTGATTGAACTAATTAAATTAAGAACTGGACTAATCCGATTCAATTAATTAACCGGTTATGCATGCAACTCGGTTAAGAACTTATGAACCGGTAAAAAAATCGGGTTCAAACGATACGTTTGTTGGTTGAACCAGATTTTGAAATTGTGACAAAATAGTTTATCATAATTGCACTCCTCGAATTCAAACTTGGCACCTATGGGAAGGGGAATGACATACTATTCATCAAGTCAAATTACTTTGGATGTCATATTGCTTCTATTTATGTATTTATCATATATTTATCATATATTTTTATATAAAATCAATTTATGTTGTCCAACTAGTAACTATTGAATCAATAATCCATTGACTCAGTACTCCAACTGAATTGATGACCGTGTTTAATAACATTGCATGCAATAATTATTTGTTTGATGCTCCTAAATGAAAGTTTTTTTTTTCGTATGTTTGTAATAATGACAAGAAATTTCCTCTTTTTTCTTATATGTCAAATGGGTTATGCTTATTCCAGGTTACTTCGAATGATGGTTTAGGTAATAATTTTACTCTCAATTTCTAATGTTTCAAACATTTATATAACGATAATTGTATAAATTGGGTTGAAATAGGTGATTTGTAATTCTCTTAACTATTTCACTGAAATTAATGAGTGGCCTTTTCTTTGATACGAAGATAACTTCTCGTGCCTAACCCAAGAATAACAAATTCAATTGTTTGAAACTAATTTGTACTTCATTTTGTTTAAAATCATCATTTCATTCCTTTATTAAGTAAAATGTATCAAATTTTATATTTGAGTTCTACCAACATAACCAACGTGTAGTCTAAAATTAAAGTACCTTCCTTAGCTTAGATCGATATAATTCCTTAACTACGAAGTGTTCCATATATTTTATTTTGTTTTCCTCATGTTCTCACTTGAACAAGTCACATCTTAGATTATTCTAACCGCAAAGCATCATGGCATCCCTTCCTTGCACAATCCAATCGAGAAATCTTGGTTTCTTTCTTGACATGGTCACGTTCACATACCTTGATGGCGCAAGATACCTTGCTCCTTCAACTTCAATCAACCATTCATTCTTCTTAACTTCCACGTCCCAAACCCCACCCTCCTAATCTTAATCAATCAAGGCCCCATCCTCAAACCAAAAACCACCCTCCCCTCCCCTCTCTTCATCCGATGCAAAAATCCAATCATCAACCATCATCCAATATAATTGCTATAAAGTTTTCTCTCACTTTACCTTATTTTTTTTATTTGTAAAAGAAGCCTTACTTTGAATTTATATTTATAAAAGAGTTTGATTTGACAAATTAAAGTTGTGACTATAAGCTATTGCCATAAACTACTCTCAAACCCTCCAACATTCATCATACTTTGTTTTCATGATCAGGTATCACCAAATATACCCCTCCAAGCATTTTTTTTCCTTCTAAATTTTAAACTTTGTTAATAATAATATAGTCTTATAAACCTAGTTTTAGTCAACTTCCGTATAAATGCTGAAAAAATTAAGACGCAAGTTGAGCACTGCCCTCACCAGTGGCCTCAAAAAATACCCCAAACGTTATAAATCTTATAAACCCCAATCACCACCTTGGCCGCAACCACGATCACCACCTTGGCCGCAACCACGATCATCACAACTACCACAATCACCACCAGCAGCAACTATGCCTCTCAGCAAAAAGAACACTCCTTTTTTGTTCCCAGAGTCTCAATCCACTGTTCTCCCTGACCCCACCAACTTCTTCTCCCCAAACCTTGTCTCCTCTCCACTCCCCACAAACTCTTTCTTCCAAAACTTGGCTCTCAAAAACGGTGATCAACCTGAGTATATTCACCCTTACCTCATCAAATCCTCAAACTTTTCTCTTTCCCTCTCATACCCATCTCGCTTCTTCAACTCTTCCTTCATATATCAAGTCTTCAACGCTGATCTCACCATCACCTCATCTCAAAAAACCAATCCTTTATCCCATTGGAACCACAGAATCTCTTCCTATAATGATCTCAGTGTCACCTTGGATATCCCTTCTTCTAATCTGCGATTTTTCCTTGTAAGGGGAAGCCCCTTTTTGACTGTGTCTGTGACTCAACCAACCCCTCTTTCCATCACCACCATTCATGCTATTCTCTCCTTTTCTTCAAATGATTCCCTTACAAAGCACACCTTTCAGTTTAACAATGGCCAGACATGGCTTTTGTATGCTTCTTCACCGATCAAGTTGAGTCATGGCCTTTCTGAGATCAATTCTGATGTGTTTTCTGGTGTAATTCGGATTGCTTTGTTGCCTGATTCTGATTCAAAGCACGAGGCTGTTCTTGACAGGTTCAGTTCTTGTTACCCTGTGTGTGGTGATGCTGTGTTTGAAAGACCATTTTGTGTGGAGTATAAGTGGGAGAAGAAAGGGTGGGGTGATTTGTTACTGTTAGCTCACCCTCTTCATCTTCAGCTTTTGTCAGACAGTGATTGTGATGTCACTGTTCTGGATGATTTTAAGTATAGAAGCATTGATGGGGAGCTTGTTGGTGTTGTTGGGGATTCTTGGGTTTTGAAAACAGATCCTGTTTCAGTAACTTGGCATTCCACCAGAGGTGTCAGAGAAGAATCACGTGATGAAATTGCTTCAGCACTTCTGAAAGATGTTGAGGGTCTAAATTCATCAGCTATAACCACAACTTCATCTTATTTTTATGGGAAATTGATTGCAAGGGCAGCAAGGTTGGCATTGATAGCAGAAGAAGTGTCTTTTCTTGATGTGATTCCTGCTATTAGGAAGTATTTGAAGGAAACCATTGAACCGTGGTTGGAAGGAACTTTTAATGGGAATGGATTTCTATATGATAGGAAATGGGGAGGCATTATAACCAAACAAGGGTCTACTGATACTGGTGCTGATTTTGGGTTTGGAATTTATAATGATCACCATTATCATTTGGGGTACTTCCTTTATGGAATTGCAGTTCTTGCGAAGATTGACCCAGTTTGGGGTAGGAAGTATAAGCCTCAAGCCTATTCGCTGATGGCAGATTTTATGACCCTGAGCAGAAGATCAAACTCTCATTACACGCGTCTAAGGTGTTTTGACCTTTATAAACTGCACTCTTGGGCTGGAGGGTTAACTGAGTTTGGAGATGGAAGAAATCAAGAGAGCACCAGTGAAGCTGTTAATGCATATTATTCTGCAGCATTGATGGGTCTGGCATATGGTGACACCCATCTTGTTGCCATTGGATCAACACTTACATCACTGGAAATTCATGCAGCTCAAATGTGGTGGCAAGTGAAAGAGGGAGGTAATATATATGAGGAAGATTTTACAAAAGAGAACAAGGTAGTAGGTGTTCTATGGTCTAACAAGAGAGACAGTGGGCTATGGTTTGCTCCTCCTGAGTGGAGAGAATGTAGGCTTGGCATTCAACTGTTGCCCATACTACCTATTTCTGAAGTACTGTTCTCAAATGTTGATTTTGTGAAGGAGCTTGTGCAGTGGACTTTGCCTGCTTTGAATAGGGAAGGTGTTGGAGAAGGATGGAAGGGGTTTGTATATGCCCTTGAAGGAGTTTATGATAATGAAGGTGCATTAATGAAGATAAGAAGCTTAAATGGTTTTGATGATGGAAACACATTGACTAATCTCTTATGGTGGATTCACAGCAGAGGTGATGTGGAGGAGGAATTTGGTCATGGAAAACACTGCTGGTTTGGTCATTACTGCCACTAGGTATTATTAATGTTGTCAAATATTTAAAAAATAAAACAAATTATGATATCTCATGCCATGTACCTTTTTCTTTATTCAATTGATGTCTGTTTCTTATAATTTCTTTGTAACTAAAGTTTGTGGACTTTTGTATTCTATCACAGTCTTTAATGTGTCATGAGGACTTTGTGGTTTATGTGCATCAGCTAGTAACTGCCCTTTACTTTTGCATTGTGCGTTTTTTCCATTTTCCTTTTTAATAGTGAGGGCGGCTTTTAGCTGATAGATGCCCTTTAAAGTCTAAAAGGCATTAAGTACAATTAAGGAAAATATGAGTAGCTATTAAGACTACTTCAAGCCCTTTCTTTAGTGAAAATAAACAATGTCTAAGCTTGGTATGCATGCCATTTTTTTATTTTCTATTTGAAATATCAGTGCTTTTGATAGCAGCTGAAACTCGAGAGGTTTTTGGTGATGAGAACTTGTTTACCAATCTCTGAACAGTGTCAAGGTGACAATAAAATGACAATCTGTGTTTTAGCTGATATCAATGATCTCTTGTTCCCTTCATTTTCTTTCTTGGATCAATTTTGAAGGATTAATTGATCAGAAGATGTAAATTAAAAACCTAGAAAGTTTCTCATTAATGTCTAAAGTTCTTCATTTTACCTTTTTTTAATACAACATTTATGTATGAAATTATCCAACTTAACCGTTATGAGTAACAACCAAAGTATCAAACCACTCTTCATTAAACTCCAACTAGAGAGGATGGGGTGAGAGCAATCCTTATACACAGCTCATATTTTCAAAGATGTTGTCCCCGAATTCGAACTCGTGAACTTTTCAATCATAAAGGATCAGTTTTGCCACACTCACCCTCGTTTAAGAGAAACAACCATGTTCCAAAATCCTGAAGGAAAACTCCTGGGAGAGCTTTCCCATTCAAACCAAAAATGTCTTTGTTGCTGTAAGGGGTGGCAAAATGTGTCGGTGCGTCGGGTTCATGTCGTGTCAAGTCTGATCTGCGGATCAAATTGTCCAACCTGTACATAATCCGTTTTTGTTTGCGGGTCAAAAATTGAAACCCAAACACTACCCATGCGTGTTGCCGGTCACACGGGTTGACCCGCAAAAATTGATAATTTGATTTTTTTTCTAAAAGAATTAAAAATAAAAGGAAAAAAGTGAATAAAATATGTGGGTTGACCCGTGACCCGCAATGGGGTATGTAAAAATCACAAAAATTTCATTTTTTTAAAAATTTTACTGGTTGACACGCTGGTCACACAGGTCAACCTGTGACACGACACGACACTAATTCTTGTTATTTACCCAAACCTACACCTGACCCGTTTTATTCCATGGGTCGACACAATCTGTATTTTGGCGGGTCATGTCGCGGGTCGGCCCACGGGTCGTGACATGTTTTGTCACCCCTAGCCACTGTCTTTGCTCATTAAAAAAAAAAAAAATTCTTTTTCACTGAAAGTGCGAAACGAGCTTGGCTTCTTCCAGCAGTGCTCTTGCTATATGCCATGAGGCGTTAAATAGACGTTTGGAACTTTGGATCAGGATGGTGCACACTCTGACAAGGAATGGAAAAGAATCAGCCTCTCAACATTGGATTTGTCTATTTCAGTCTCTGTGCAGATTGCAGGGCTATCCCAAAAACTCCAAATTTCACTTCAACATTTGTAGCTTTCCATTGTTCTTTTGATGCCTCATGGAATATCTGATGTGCATTAAACTGAGTTTTGGAAAACACATTTATTTATAACAAGTAGTCAAACAAAAATCTGAGGACAATTAAGTTCATCATCAGTTTATTGCATTTTTTTGCAATACTACATAAACAATTATTAGACTCACTACACCCGTTAATTAATGTGAATTTAATTCATCCCCACATATTAAGCTTGAGTTCTCCTTTACTTGAGAGTTGATATATTCTCAGTTACAAGTTCCATGTGATGCACATATGTCTATAACTGCCACATGTGCTAGCTTTATGCAATTAACTCACTCTTTTTTAGCATAAGCTTTGGTTTTCTTTGCCTAATCCTTTTCTCTCAAGTCTCAGTAGGTGGAAGCTCTCTGCTTTTTCTGAGCTTTTTCCTTCTTCCTACTGATTTCTGTTTTAGTGTACATTCCAAGAGCACAACATGGGTCAGTGGTAAAAATATTTATGCTCTGCATCACGAAGGGGATTAGTCTCATCCAAATAGTTAGGACACCCTAGGAAACTGGAAAAAAAAAAGACAAACTTATATTTCAAAACAATAATTTTTGTCTTCATTTTTTTTGTATAGAATGAGTTGAGAATTTTTACAAAAGTAGGCAGTAAGGAGGGTATTTAAACTCCTCCTTTCAAGATGTAATTCCTTATTTATTTACTTTTTGAATTTGGATTGTATACAATATACACAAGGAAAAAAAGATGAGGAAGTTTATAGAATATTCAAAAGTAACTTGTTCAGAAAATGGAATTATAAAAATGATATTCTTTACAACCTCGTCATGCAATCTCTTCCTTGCACATTCAAGAACAGAAACCTTTTTTATGTACTTCCTTGGATTCTTATTCTCCCATTGTCCACTTACAAGCCAAGTCCAAGGAATAACATTTCTTCCTTTTGTCATTTTTTCTGTTTTTGTTGTGTAAGGTATTCTCATAACATGCTTACATTTTCTTCAAACAATTCCTTTCTTCATACAATTCCAAATTCCTTTCTTTTCTGCTTCCGTTTTCTGTTCACTATAAAGTACAATAACCTAATATTACAAAATACAATATAACCAACCTTCTATTTCTCTCCAACTAACTTAACGTTTACTACATCCAAATCCAAACTCACCATGCTGAAGAAACTTGGACGAAAGATAGAAAAAGCAATTACAAAGACACCACCACCTCCACGTCCACGTCCACGTCAACCTCCACCACCTCCTCCTCCTCCTCCACCGCCACCTCCACCACCTCCACCTCCACCCCCTCCTCCTCCTCCTCCTCCTCCTCCTCCTCCTCCACCACCACCACCACCACCACCACCACCACCTCCTCCCAAGCAACCAAATACTCCATTTCTCTTCCCTCAAACTCACTCCGCTGTTCTCCCTGACCCTTCTAACTTCTTCTCCCCAAACCTTCTCTCATCACCACTCCCTACAAACTCTTTTTTCCAAAACTATGTTCTGAAAAATGGGGACACACCTGAGTATATTCACCCTTACCTCATCAAATCCTCAAGCTCCTCCCTCTCTTTCTCCTACCCTTCTCGCATCTCCAACTCTTCTTTCACAACCCAGGTTTTCAACCCTGATATCACCATTTCTGCCTCTGAGAAAACCAACCCAGATTCACATGGGAAGCATATCATCTCTTCCTTCAATGATCTCAGTGTCACTTTGGACATTCCTTCTTCTAACCTGCGGTTCTTCCTTGTCAGGGGAAGCCCTTTTCTAACAGCATCTGTGACTGGTCGCACACCACTTTCCATCACCACCATCCATGCCATCCTTTCATTCTCATCCAATAACTCCCTCACCAAGCACACCATGAAGCTCAACAATGGCCAGACATGGCTCATATTCACGTCCTCACCAATCAGTTTGAATAATAGCCTTTCGGAGATTACCTCTGATGGCTTTTCTGGCATAATAAGGATAGCACTGTTGCCTGATTCTGACCCCAAGTATGAGGTAATCCTCAACCGCTTCAGTTCTTGTTACCCTGTCTCTGGGGATGCAGCATTCACAAAGCCATTCTGTGTGGAGTATAAATGGGAAAAGAAAGGGTGGGGAGAGTTGCTAATTCTTGCTGACCCTCTTCATCTTCAACTTTTGTCTGCTAATGATTGTGATGTAACTGTGCTGCATGATTTGAAGTATAAAAGCATTGATGGGGAGCTTGTTGGTGTTGTTGGAGACTCATGGCTGTTGAAAACAGATCCTGTTTCTGTTACTTGGCATTCCACCAGAGGTATCAAAGAAGAATTCCATGATGAAATTTGTTCAGCACTTTCTGCTGATGTGGATGCTCTGAATCCCTTAGGAATGACAACAACATCATGCTATTTTTATGGGAAGATGATAGCAAGGGCAGCAAGGTTGGCATTGGTTGCTGAAGAGGTGTCTTTTCTTGATGCCATACCAGCAATTAGGAAGTTCTTGAAGGAGACCATTGAGCCATGGTTGAATGGAACTTTTAATGGAAATGGTTTTCTCCATGATGGGAAATGGGGAGGAATTGTTACTGAACAAGGGTCTATAGATTCACTTGGAGATTTTGGGTTTGGTATTTATAATGATCATCATTATCATTTAGGATACTTCATATATGCAATTGCAGTGCTTGCTAAGATTGACCCAGCCTGGGGAAGGAAGTATAAGCCTCAAGCCTATTCACTTATGGCAGATTTCATGAACTTGGGAAGAAGATCAAACTCTAATTATACACGTTTGAGGTGTTTTGATCTTTATAAATTGCACTCTTGGGCTGGAGGGCTAACTGAATTTGCAGATGGAAGAAATCAAGAGAGCACTAGTGAAGCTGTTAATGCATATTATTCTGCAGCATTGATGGGTTTGGCATATGGTGACACACAACTTGTTGCCACAGGATCAACACTTGCAGCATTGGAAATTCATGCAGCTCAAATGTGGTGGCATGTAAGAGAGGGAGATAAACTTTATGGGGAAGATTTTACAAAAGAGAATAGGGTGGTGAGTGTTGTGTGGGCTAACAAGAGAGATAGTGGACTATGGTTTGCTCCTGCACAATGGAGAGAGTGTAGGCTTGGTATTCAGGTTTTACCCTTGTTGCCTATTACTGAGGCCTTGTTCTCTGATATTGGTTATGTGAAGGAGCTTGTGGAATGGACATTGCCCAATTTGAACAGGAAAGGTGTTGGAGAAGGGTGGAAAGGGTTTATTTATGCTATGGTAGGAACTTATGATAAAGAAACTGCATTGCAAAAGTTGAGAAGCTTGAAAGGTTTTGATGATGGGAACTCAATGAGTAATCTGTTATGGTGGATTTACAGCAGAGGTGATGTGGAGGAGGAATTTGGTCATGGAAAACACTGCTGGTTTGGTCATTATTGTCATTAAAGTGCTGTTAAGTATCTTGATATATTAAGAAGGTGAAAACAATGGGGGCTACTCATGTTAATGTTTGTAATTAGTGTCATTGAAATATATTTATAAGACAGTGTTGTATCTGTAACACCATCTATTTTTTAAATATATTTTTGAAATTTAAATAACTTAATTTATCGTAAGTTTTCACGTAACTTTTTTTATATTTATAAGTAATAACGAAAACTCAAATTTCAAGAAAATAAAATTTAACCCTATTTTAATATATATAGTTTTATTCCTTAAAATTAGCAAGATAAAAAAATAAAATTTAACCCTAGTTTAATATATATATATATATTTCAAAAACTTATTATTAACTAGATTTTCTATAACTACCTTTGTGTACTAAAATAATAAGAGAATAGTTAAAATCAATTTGAGAATTTTTAAAATTAGGATTTAACCTCCTACCTTAAAATTAAGAATTAATGTAAGAATTTTTTTTTTAAATGATCAGGCTTTCATAGGAAGCCAAAGCAAATCGCCATTTATGAATTAAAAAAAGGAAAGGAAACAGAACTTTGAGGATTTGGGTTTAGGGGTGTTCGCGGTCTGGATTGGATCGATTTTGGAAGCAAAAATTATCTGATCCAATTCCTTCGGTTTGATCATGTAATCATCCATTCTGTTTAGATTTTTTTTTTCAAATTCGATCCGATCCAATCCAATTTTTTTCGGTTTGGATTGGATCGGTTTTTGATTTTTTGAAAATTCTAAAATTTGTTTCATGATTATTGTGCAAATAACATCTTTTGTATATATTGACTTTGTAATTTTTTTTTTTTGAAATCAAAAGTATCAGTAAACAATAATATATTTTTTTTGGAGGGCAATGAGATATGAAGCTCTACACAGATGAAATTTTGTTGATGAAATGTGACTAGGCTTTTTCTTGGGTTTAGTTAATAGATCTTGGGTTTAGAAATTTTTTAGATATGATTGGAGAAAGGCCCAAGTAAGTAGAGCGAAATTAATATATTTAATTGGTTTGGATTGGATCGGTTTTCGTCAACCAATCCGAAAACCAATCCAATCCAATTAGAATTTGTGGGTTTTTTTTCGATTTTCGGTTTTTGGTTTTTTCAGTTCGGTCACTGCGGTTTGAATCGGTTTGGATCGGTTGATGCACACCTTTAGTAGCGTGGGTGTATGCTCCTAGAGAAGGGATGCGGATTTGGGAAGTGAACAGGTGTTCTTGAGAGTTGAGAGTAGCAGTGTAAATAGGCTAGGTCGGTCTGTAGGGATTTACGGCTTAGCCTAATATTAGGCCAGACTTAGCTTATTATAAATAGTCAAATAGAACAAGCTTAACCTTTTAAAAAAATCTATTTAGAAAATAGGTCATAGAATTTTTTGTACATATCGGGCTTATAAGCCAACAAATTGGCCTATATCATATTATTTATTTTATTTAAAATAAATAAAATTATTATTTTAATAATTTTGAATAATAATGTAATATTATTTTAATTATTTTTTTAATTATGAAATGTTTAATAGGTTTAAATAGGTCTAAGCCAAAAATTTTATTTTTTAAATATAAGTCAGTTTAGACTTGTAATTTGGACCTACAAAAACTGACAAGTCAGACAAGATCTAAAGATTCTTACACATATATGATTTATTTAAATCATAACCTAACCTATTTAGACCCCTAGTTGAAAGTGGTTAAGTGTGTGTGAGAGTGCTTAGCTTTGAAAGTGAAAGATCAAGGAGGAAGACGAAAATTTTGGAACAATCAAACAAATAGATTTGCTCAATCGCTAATATAGGTGACAATAACGTTTTATTTAAAGCATAAGATTCCTAATATTGTGCCTATACCTTTTCTTACTTACTCTATTTATTCCTTTTTAATATTGTTAAATCAGAATTTTTAGAGAAGAAAGAACAAAAAATGAAAGTTATTTAAGATTCTGATCTAATGATATTAAAAATGAAAAGATACAGTAGATACGAATAAAAAGTAGACACAATATCATATTCTCTAAAAACAAAAACAAAATATTTTCCTTGGAGCTCATTTTTCAAGCACATACTCCTTTTTCCAAAATAAAAAAAAAAGTTTCAGATATGGATGGAAATAAACATAAAAACAAGGATGGTATAAAAGTATTCACATTTGATAAAAGATGTACTGAGTTCTCGGACGTGAGTATTTATCTGATCCATGCATAATATCATGAAAATGAATACAAAGTTTTGGCTACTACTTAGTATTAGTATGGGCAATAAGTCTAAAAAAGTATCTAAAAATGTCATTCAAAAGTTTTATACATATGCCCTGCACTTTTTTAGACAGAAAATATTTTCTAGTCCTTGAGTCTCGTACATGCCATGCTTCATTTATTAGAATCTATATATATTCTAAAGTTAAACCAAAGCAAATCCCCTTTGTGTTCACACTGTGTGTTCACACTTGAAACCCTTCAAAACGCTGACGTGTCAAACTCTGATTCATGTTCAGCTGTGTGTTCACATTGTGTGTTCACACTGTGTGGTCACACTTGCATTAACATTTAAAAAAAATAAAAGAAAAAATCGTAATAATGACTTTTTATGAAAAACGAAAATCGAAATGGATGATTAATGACCCACCATCATTAATTGTTGTATTGGGAAATGAAAGGTTTTTAAAAATTGCATTGGAAGATGAAAGGTTTTTAAAAATTTTAATATGGAAAACTCATCATCTCATATTTTGAAAAAACCTTCCAACCATTCAGACGCTTCTTTCTTCTAACTCCTGATGTTTCTTCATCTCTTGCTTCTGCGATTTTTGTCCTGCTAATGTTTTTTGTTTTATTTTTCATTGATATATTAATGTATCTCTTTTGTAGGGTGGAAAAATACATGCCACAGTTAAAGCTTTTCTGCATCTCATAGGTCGTTTTAAGGAGAACTTACTGAATTAATGCCCTGAGAATATTGATGAGTCCTCTCCATTATCTGCCTCCTCTTTTGGCATGTAAGCTTTTTTTACATTATTATTCCTTTCTAAACAAGCTTAATTACGTGTGTTAATTTGAATGTTAAGACCATATTTCATTTCTTTTTTTCAACAGACAGATACTTGGTGATATTCCCAATGGTACATATATAAGGTTCAGGAAGGTTAAAGAAAATTTTCTCCATGTATAAATGCAGATCCCGTTTAAAAAAAAAATTAACATATTTTTTTATTTCATATACAGATACTTCTTCCCAACAACGAAGAAACCAAGATCGTTAGTATCCTATGTAATTCGCACAAGGAGAATTGTAATGATTCTTTTCTATCAAATGGTACGACAAAATCTTTGGTAGAAGATCTCTTGCAAAATTCAGCCTCTTTGTAATCACGTAAGTTTTTTTCGTTAGTCATTCATTTACAACAAACAATAAATCGTACATGAATATTCTTATAACTTGATAGGATTTTATTTGTATGCAACAAGAACATTTCAATCCTTTCATTCCAATGTGACAAATTCTTCTTTACGATTTTTTTATAATTCAGTATTTTTTTTGTTTTATTCAAGCAAAATATTTGAATCCCTTCCCTCAAATTGTGTTACAAATCCTTCCGCGGAAAATCTTTCGCCATTTTCTGCCTCCCCAGTTCGCAAAAGGTATGGCAAAATTTTTTGTAGAAAATCTTTCTCCACGGTTAGCATCTCCCGTTGTTTCGTAAAATTTTCTTTTTGACATTTGTTTATGTAGAACAACTAAAAGAAATCATATTTTGTGACTTCTTACAAGTTGAGATTCTTTTTTATTCAAGCAAACTATTCGAATCCTTTCCCTCCAATGGTGTTACAAATCCTTGCGTAGAAAATCTTTTGCCATTTTCTGTCTCTCCTTCAATTTTCTATATATTAAGTTTTCTTCGTCATTTATTTTTTTTAAATTGAATACAACAATAATAATTTAGTTTTCTTCGTTATTTTTTCCAGTACTTTTTATTTAATTGTAGATTTGGAAATATATTAATGATTTAATACTTTACTATTGATTGAAAAAAAAATCATACCATCGATATTTATTTTTAATACTTTATTGGTATATTTTCTATATGTAAATGATTTGTATCTACGTATTCATAAAATAATTACTTTATTTTATCAGTAGATTTTTAATTTATTAGTTTTATAATTATATTTAAAAATCAACCGATAATATAAAATTAAACTTTTTGAGTTAAAATTAATTTCGTATAACAATAGGATTATATTAGTATAAGAGCATGAAAAAGTCATCTATATCTATATATTAAAAGGGAGTGTCATTCTTTGGCAAGTTTGCTGACGTGTCGCTCTCTCCTTCAATTTCAAGTTTGTGTTCACACTATAAACCATTTAAAATCTTTCTTGCTTTAGTAAATTTGTACGATTCGAAATTTAAACTTTATTAGGTGGGAAATGAGTTCAGCATTAATTGTTGGCAGACATTTATATTAATATTCCACTACTTTTTTAAAATTTGAATTTCAAATTTGATATAGTGGGAATGGGAAAAGAGTTGAACATTTTTTGGGGCAGACACATCATTTAAAATCCCATTACTTTCTACGTTGGAATTGGAAAGTGTATTATTGGAATTGGAAAGTGTTTAAAAAAAAACTTTAAGAAAGCCTTTAATTATGTGTCTAAATAGGATCATACATGGCTCTCTCTTTTAATATTCACTTTTTATTCACATTTGAAATTACTTTCAATTTTTTATCTTTTAGTAACTTTTCAAATTTAAATATTTAACTTGATAGGTGGGAAATTGTCAAATTCGAATTTGAAACTTGATAGATATTATAAGAACTTGCCAGAAACATTGGAATTTTAAAAGTGCCTATAAGTTTAATACAAAAATCAATGTATTGCATCTTTTGAGCGCAAGTTAATTGAATTGATCTTATGAGTGCAGGTTAATTAAAGCATTCATGCATATAAGCACATACTTCAAGTAGTTGCATCTTTTATTATCAACTATTTAATTACACTTGAAAATGAAATAACAGTACCTCATTTTCAATGACAGGCAGTCACCCTCATTTGCACAATTTGAAATTTAAACTTCATTAGGTTG